CGATACCCGATACCAGTATCAGTATCGGTGCAACCCTAGTCGAGACGAGTGTGTTTGTAACAGGAGGATTGCAGCAAGAGTGCAAGTGAACACAAAATGCAGTTTCTAAATGAAGGTGTTTGTTATTAACGGTAAAAGAAATCCAAACCTGCACGACCCCACGTGACAGCGATTGACCCTAAACCCAGTGACTGGTTGGGCCACGCAGCAACAACTGCAGTCAAGTCTTTGTTTTCTGTTTAACATGCAAAAACAATCTGAAGTCAGGAAGGAGGCAAACACCTTGTAACAACAGCTCATCTCACTGTGTATATTTGACACTTATTGGATGTCTGAATCCTGAAAGAGTCCATTTATTCCTCCTACAGTTTACAACATTACTGCGGTTCATCTGTGTGAAATATTCATTTACTCTCACAGCTGAGTGACGTGGTTGTTGTCTGTTATTAGACCTTAAAGAGTGAATGGGTTCTGTGTTGGTTGCAGAGATGCAGTATCCTCCAGTGTTGCTTTGTGTTGTGTTCCTCAGATCAGCTTTGGAGGACTTCCTGTGTCTGTGAAGCCGACCTCAGGAGGCAAAGAGAACTTTGTTGGCTGCATGGAGGGAATTACCTACAACGGGGAGAACATCACTAGTCTGGTGCGCAGGAAGAAGGTGGACACCACCAGCTTTGTAAGAAGTGTCTTCTCTTTGAGTTTATGTGCCCAGCCTTGTGTAAATGTAGACTGCAGTGCTACAATGATCTTAAAAACCCTTTCGCAGTTTTTCTGTTATTTGGCAGTTTGCATCTTTTCCTAAACTAAATCTGTCGTGGACACTCGTCTGTGGAGGAAAACTCTTCTTTTCTTCAGTAACATGCCTCGATTCGTCGTGACAGCTCTAAACGTACTTTTTAAACCATATATTACTGTTGTTGTGCTAACCTCTGCTGCTGTTACTAAAATGACTGAAGTGCTAGACAATGTAAAATATTTTTCTTCTTTTTTGGGATCTTCTTAAATAACAAAGTTAATTGAGTGGATTTAATTGTTTTTGCTGGACAGAAAACTCTTGGAAGAGAAGAAGTTGCTCCTGTTGATGTGTCCCAAACAGTCTCTGACCTGTCAAAGCCTCAGTCTTTGAAAACACTTTCGACCTGTCAGAAGATTAAAAGGAGCTCCAGTAGTTTCTTCACTGTTGCTCAACCTCCTGAGCAGATTAGCAAAGTAACACTTATGCCCGTGAGGTTGCCTCTGCTGTCGTCATTGGCTGCTGCGGCTGTTCTGCAGCAGTGATTGAGGGCATTCTCATACCTGTAGACCAGTTTCCTGTGGTCTGAATCAGCTGTAGCTTTGTCCCATGATTTGATTTCTTTTCACACAGAGAAAATTCCAGCTGAACCAGTGCATCACTACAAACCACGTGATAGATGTATCTGGGCAGGATCAATAAAAGTAAATACAGCGAGAAGGTGCTGTGTTTTGGAGCATTAGAGACCAGGGAGAATATTTGTTTCACTGCTGGTTGCTGGCCTGTGTAGACCTTTGCACGTCTGTAGTACGTTGCTACTTCCCAGAATGCAAAGCGTGCGTTGCCAGAGGAAGCTTTTTAGCTCAGTTTTGAAATGTACACTGGGTAGTTGATTCGGATTGAGGTCACATTTCTACCATAAAGGAACCACAACAACTACACTGAGACTGTTTGAAGGAGGTGGTCTGTGCAGTTGTTTTGGTGCGTGCCCAAGTGCAACTACTGTGCTCACGTCTACACAAACGAACCTCACTAAGAGGAAGACAAACCAGAAGCTTCTTTCTTTTGGTCACTACTCAGAACAGCTGATAAAGTACAGCATGATTAACCACAGTGAATCTGTGATTAGTTGGCAGCACCCAACTAATCACAGTTGCTATCTGAAACTAAAACCAGAACACTGTAGCCTACTTCCCACACTAAGACTGTGGTTGTCCTCTAAGAATGGATTTTGAATCTCTCCTTCCTCAGGTGCCACATTTTTTGTCTGAAACTTGTCTGATTCGTCAGAGCTCATTTTGATTGCTGTTCTTTTTTCCACTCCATAATAACCACTGTGTTTTTAGCTCAGATGTTCAAACTGAGTGGACTTCCTCTATATCACACATGTGAGTGCAGTCTGTGAACAGACTGGCTTTTAGTAACGTATTCACTGTGAAAATGTCCGAAATGTAAAAAACAGACATGCACGTGGATCCACGTGCTCAACATTTGATGACGTTCATGTTACTCAGACCTGCGCTGGCCCTAGAGGAATCACAGAAGTGGAAATTATAGCATCAAGTCTTTATTCCACTCTGAGCACCTAAACTGCCTGACAACCGTTTTCAATTTAGAATCGCCAAATAAAATGAAGTTTCAAAATAAAAGTCTGTTAGGTACTGTCTACTCCATAAATCTCTTTATCGGTTTCTTTCTTCCACTGTAGCGTAACCTGACGTTTTCCTGCTCCGAATCCAACACCTCCCCAGTTTTCTTCAACTCCACATCCTTCCTGCGGCTGCCGGGTCAGACTGACAGCGACACCCTGTCAGTCAGTCTGTCTTTCAGGACGTGGAATCCCAACGGCCTTCTGATGTTCACCGCCCTGGTGGATGGCTGGGTGGAGCTGGGCCTGACGGAGGGAAAAATCACCGTCTACATGAACGTGACACAGAAGAAGAACACACGCATAGACATTTCATCAGGTGAGCTCAGCTCGTTGGTTTTTAGTCTTC